AGTGCTTTCAATCGTCTGTTACAGGATGACCAAGCGGGTTTTTTTACCTTCTTCAGTCGAAGCCCGAGGCTCACTTACGCTACCATGTCAAGGTGTCAACCCCCCTTGCTGCGATCCTTGCTCTCGCGGAATTAAGGGAAAATTCTTCTGGTGCGTACTCAAGGGGCCTTTAAGGTATAACCATTCTCAATTTCGATATCTCAGCGGGGACTATGTTTGAATTGGTGAAAGAACTCAAAGCCGGTGCCGAGAATCTCAAGAAACAATTGTCAAATTACATCAGCTTGAATGCGGGTTGCGAGCTGTTCACTGAGTCTGTCACTCTCTTCCCCCATGACACGTCCGTAAGTGTTCGCTTTCCGATTCTTCTGTTCCGTTCTCACATACCTCGGGCGTTTATACAGAGTTTCTCAGAGCTCAAGACCGAACTGATACGACAAGGGCATCAGTACGTCATTCAGGCGCTTACTTATCGCGCAAAGATTGCAGAGCTTGCCTTCGACTTTATAAAGGATGATTCGGTGGTCAGTCCTTTTCCTATCAGGAACATTCTTTTGTGATGACATTTCGCTTGATAAGATACTCACACATTTGTATTCGAGAGTCGTGATGCAAACGCTCTCATAGGCTCACAAACGGAAGCGAATATCAGGTAAAATGGCCCATCAAAAATACCGTCCGTCATCAGCTCATATTTAGCATAGTCTTCGTTACAGAGGCAAGACCCCGTGGCCTTGCGTTGATGCTTTCTCCGGCCTTTTGCTAACGTCTTCTCATTCATACTCCTCAGCATTAAGACCACAGAAAAACTAACGGCTGCCGGAATTCCTACAACCGCGATTCTTGATTCTGCAGTTGCGTACTGGATGGATATGGTTGATTTTGTTCTCGTTGATTCCGAAGCTGTGGTCGAGAGTGGCGGACTCATTAATGCTGTCGGCAGCAACCAGATAGCAATCATTGCAAAAACTGCGAATAAACCCTTTTACGCTCTCGCAGAAAGGTACCATGTGCCGATCGATAAACCTCTTTTTTCTATGCTTCTGACATCCTTTACACAGCTACAAGTTCCGTCGGCTATTCATATTGTCGCAATATGATCTGTCAAGTCATACTCCAAACCTACTTTCCTTCTCTCTACCTATAGGACGGCCCCTCCACAAATCTTCCGTTAATCCGTCTCCGAAATCGTCTTTTGCTTCCGGCGGATCAACTTGGGTGTCATCAGCCCTCGAAGATATGAACACCGACTCCCGCAAAGATCAAGATCAGTGAAGAACAACTCACTCGAAATAATTCAAGTGTAGACTACACCAGGTTCGCCGCCTGGTCTTCGATTTTTTCCTTTGTTAACTGGACCTCTTACTTAGACCCGATCTCATCTCTTTGGTGTTCTCGGATGTAGGCAGCTTGACTCCGGAGGGAGTCAGTCAGTACCTTGTTGGGATGTTTGCAGGATGATCGGGGTATATTTCAATTTCTTTACTGCATTCTAAAGCCCCCGCCGTTCTGGACTCTCTGCGTGAGCGAACGATCGTCTTCTGAACGCGGGACACTGTCTACAGTAGGTGCCGTACTTGCCTTCGGAACAGATCACGAGTGCAAATTCGAAGTGATGCAAGTAGCATTGCGGGTGGTCCCTTGGCCCCTTGGGTATTAGCCGTCGATCAAACGAAATCGGCGATTGACGAAAAACAATTTAAACAAACAGCATTTGGGGTAAAGAATTTCAGTATCGGATCGTTAGATAACGAAGTCAACGTCGGGTACCTGTTTCGTTCTGTTCTGACACGCGGAATCCATAAGAACTTATGAATGCGTGGACCATCATCCTGTATTAACTTTGTAGCAGGGTGGAACTGATGTCACCACTTGCGAAGACGAGGGGTAGCATGAAGCACGTAGCCGATGGTAGGACGGATCTCGACTGCCTAGGTGCGGTTATTTTTGGTGAACTCTCAAGTTCTTGATTTCCAGCGGGCCGAGCCTGAAGGTCTGATCTCAGACCAATCAGTAGGATTTTTTTACTTTTAGGTGCGTCTGAGGGCTATGTAAGTTCTACCGTCCAGTCCTTTGCTTTGCATCAACGCCTCGTCTTCACTCTTACAAGTCTTCTACTATAATCACATCCTCATGTCTCAACCAATCGTAGCGCCCAGGGCACGATGCACTCATGTTACTGATGGGGCTGTGACCTGTTACTATCCGCGGTTTAATCCTCCTTCGTCGCCGTCCCAGGATCAGGTAGGCCTTCTTTCTCTACGACCAATGCACTCACGTACCACCGGGTTCTCTCAGATCAGCTGTGTTGACTGTGGACATGGTGTCCATGCACATGTCGACTACGAGTCAAAGGTGGTCTACCATAACCCCACCACTCATTGTGCGGCATTTGCTCAAAAGGCGCGCACTATTTCTCCGCATTCTTCTCCTTAGGACTGATACTATTCGTATTGTAGGCGTATAAATCACATGCATGTACTTGCACCGTACAACTTTTCGACCATGAGGCCATCGTGAACGCGTATCGTTCGATCTCAGTGCCCCGCAGCCCGGTTCCCCCCACGAACAGTCTCGACAGCATCACTCCTTCTAATGCCAACGTAGCCGGACTCTCCTCCGGCACCGCCACCTTTGCTATTGCCTCGACCTCCATCCCTTCCGTCAATCCCAACTCTTACACTCCCGGAGACATCAATTCCACGCTCCTTGCCCCCATTCCTGTCACATTTCAGTCTAACAGTGTCCTCCATTTCTCCCAGAACGATGCTTACGCTTTCGTCTCTGACCAGCAGTCAGACGGCGCGTCCCTGGTGACTGGCTCCCCCGTCCACCACGCGCCCATGGGTTATTATGATTACCAAGGTCATTCGTTTGGAATGGATGGTGCACCATCCGCAGGCGCATAAGCCTTATACCTCTTTGATAGTCCACCGGGACCACGATCACAAAAACAACGATAGCGATGATCATTCCCCATGGCAGAATCCACTTGTTTTCTTTTATTTCATCGACATTGCTCCTTACTGTTTTCCTGCCGGTGTCTACCTTGTATTCAAATAAGATATTCTCTTTTCTTTTCTTTGTGCTTTGATATCTGTACGTCTGTCGCTTTGAAATGCTGTTGTATGTAACAATCTATTGTCGTGTCGGAACTGAATATCATCATTGTGACTCTACGAGAAAGCTGTACATCTGATGAACAGAGACCTGAGCTTAGACTATAAGTAGAGAGTAGAGATGCAGTACGTCGAGCAACGGAAGAAAAGAAAGCATATTCCAAATCACGGTTGAGCTGCCAAATGCAAAGCGACCAACATTGTCGGAGATGCTGGTACTACGAGCGAGACAGACAGCACGTCACGAACATCTTTTCTTCGCTAATCATGAACAGTCGTGCAGCCTTGTGATGCGATAGAGATCTGCCGTAACCAGGGCTCCGGTCTTTCAATCTGAGAAATTCGATCCAATGAAGAACCTAATGGATATATGCTCATGAGAAAACGGGAGTACGAAAGAAAAGGATTGTACCATACTAAGTGCTATCCTCGTCGGCTTGAAGTGAACTGCATGGCCTCGTCTCGCCCGAGCGTATTGTGCAGTGATTAAACCTTCCCGAGCAAATGGGCGATCGGTGCGATAATTCCAGCAGAACATTTCACTGTATCCTTTTTGCTATTCGGTGGGTTCTCCGAGTCGTGCCAACTTTCGTTTCTCCTTTTCCTCTATCTCATCGGCCTCTGTGTTCCCTGCGCGCATCCGATCCACATTTTCAAATCCTTCAATCCTCTTGAATCGTCGACCGAAGAATGGAGTTTCGCAGACGACAAGAATCGATGAAGAGAAAGGATTGACCAGGTGAAGAGATGAGCGACGAAGGGTCTTTTCTAAGTAAATTCGATACTTGAAACTTAAGCGCTAAGCGCTAAGCCTCCACGGTTGAAGTGAGCGGAACTTCCTGGAGCAGGTGATGTCCTGAGTCCTGACATGCATGGTCCTGGCGTGTGGTGGCACAAGCGTAGGCGGGGTAACATGATACAGTATTGAAAATCGGGAAGGGATAGAGTCAGGGTCTGCTGGCGAGTCAACGAAAAGGATGGAATGAGAACTTCTTCTCAGGAATGATTAATGATTGATGAAGCATGATGTTGTGGTGGTAGCGGAGACTTGAACAGCGGGTAAGCATGAGCAGAGATACCGTTCCACTCCAAATATCCTCCCCGCCCTCCTTTATTTCCCTTCTCTATTTTCAAGTCTCCATCTCTGTCCATCATTCGTCGTCAGAGCTTGTGCCTCAGTGTGTCCTACCGGTCCATGACAAGCGATAGAGACTCTGGGGTATCATGTGTGGCCGTGGCGGGTACTTGAGAATTCGTAAAAAGGTGCCTTCTTGGACACATAGATGTGAGACAGCACGAGGCGGGATAGTCTATCACCATCGGGGTACGATGGGATTAGTAATAGATGAGCAGCAAGTTATGTATGCCTTGCGGCCACTGCCTGCCCCGAGACTAGCACTGGCAGTGGTTGCGCACGGCTCAGATACATAACGCGTGACGCGTGACATTGAAGTCAGTTTTGAGAAGCTTGGCAGGCTAAACATCGACACCAACATCGGTTCCTTCCCCGCATACTTTTCGAGAAAAATACCGAGCACTCCGAGTCCCAAGAGGTTTCTTAGACTTGCGTGTAAGTCAGCGAATGATATACTATGGGAAACGTTTTATAACGTAAGCACTGTCCCGGCTACCCATAGAAGGAATCGCCGTTGATGTGTCCAATGGGTCCGTAGGGGTCACTATTTTCTCGTGCCTCGGGGACGGCCTTGTTACTGTATATGGATTTCCTCGGCTAAGTATGCTTCTGCCCGATTCATCAGATCAATGCGATATAGTTTCCGAATTATCCTCCACAGCTATCTGGACCATTAAAATGCGCTGATATGAACTCCAACTGCCATCCCATTCTCACATCTCTCTCTCGACAACAGCGCTCCTCCAATGTCTTCAGCCTTCCTACCGTCTCGAGGACAGTGCACCCAGGTCGCTGACAACATCCAACACTGTCAGTGTCCATGGTTCACGTCGACCCTGGTGGATCAGGTAGGCTCACACCTGCTTCACCCGTATTCACCTACATATGTTCTCCCAGTCCGTCTGCATTAGTTGTGGGCACGGTATTCACGCGCATGTCGACTACGTTTCGATGGTTGTCCATCATCATCCCCCAACTCAATGTGTCGCCTATGTACAAAAGGTATGCTGCTCGACACTCTGCACCGTAGCTTGAACTTATGCAGCCTACGTGATAGACGCCTCTAGCACAACGTTGCACCTGTGAAGCTCAGCTTTTTGACCACGTCGCTGTCAACAACTCGTACCGTTCTGTAGAGCCATGGAATGTTTTGGATTATTTCCAGGACAGCAATATCCCTTCTTCTAACTCGAGTCTCTATTCCCACGATGCCAATGGTTCATTCGCTCCGAACACCGTGGTTTTTTCAGCCACAGATTCTGACACCGCCATCCTTTCTCACGACGCGAGCCTTATGCCAGTCGCATCGGCGTCTATTTTATTCCCTGGTCTCCGTCACGTATCCAGCCCTTCCAGCAATGCGGAGAACATACCCTTTACTTCCACCGGCATTTCCTCTCCTTCGTCTGGTAGTAGTGCTTCATCCAGTATCCAACCGGATATCGCTGAGGCCCAAGCATATAACCCATACGGTTATTTCACTCAACATCCGGATTATTTCACGAACAACTCCTATGCTCGTCAGCCAAGCGGAGACGCGACGAGTCTCGAATACCAGGATTATTCGTATCTAGTGTATCATCTGGCGTCTGACACCTAGGTTTGGTCTGTGCCCGCGACGGTATCCACATCCTTGTACGTGCTTGTTTTCTTCACCCCAATCTTCTGCACGCTCATATCCTGTCTCCTCCCTATGTTTTATCTTTATATTGACTATGTCGACACTGCAGTTATCAGGCGCATGATCCACATTCTACCTATGCGTTGCACGCGCCTTTACTCTCCCTTTCCTACTCAGCTCTTCTCTTCACTAGTCGTTATTGCAATGTTTTTGCTCAGGATAGCAGGCTTCGATGTCCTAAATTTCACATTTTGGCCAGAACTATAGAGATTGTTGGTTTTGGATGTGTTGTGTCTCTTTATCCTCTTCCGTGTTGTACTTTTCAATCCTTCTGCTGGGTGTTTATTGGTTATTCTTTCCTATCTGAATATGCTGTCAAATCTTCTGCTTTCGTGTCCGATACATATTTATCGCTTCGGGTTGCTATGATTGGTCTGTCTCTAATATTTAATATTTTGAAATTGCTTTGTAATTATTAACACCCTTGATGGGCACGTTCAATAGTAATGGGTTTAATTTTTTATCAACGGGGTTCCCCAAGACATCGTACAGAACACGAGCCTTTTCTTCTAGGGCATTTACAGTGTCGATCCTTAAATCAACCTTAAATTCGGGGCTCAGGAATGGTCTTGAGCCAATCTTGAGCTCTTCATAACTCACACCATTGCCCCAGATTGCCCCACTTTCCTCAAGTCTCGTGACGAGAATTGGACCATGTACTTATACAGTAGAGGTATTTCGGCATTCACCAAGTATGCCAGTTTATTTTAAGTATAATTAGTTTGTCGTGCAGATCCAATCTCGGCAAATTCCGACAAGTTCCTGTTTGTCCTTGAAATTTACCGGCTCTTTCAAACGCCTTCGCCATATTGATGTTTCTACCGCCTGTGCCAAGATTACCGAACTGACAGACCATATACCACAGCACCCTCTTGATGGCCTGGATGCATACTGATGACATATCTGCCGGTGCTCTATCCGAGTCACTTCACTTCTTTTTCCGCAGACAAGTTAGAGCGCCCAACTCCAGCGCTTTGGGGAATAACCTTTTCAACAACAGCATTTCATCAGGAGGTTCTGTTATACATGTCGGCGCTTCTGACGACCTCAAGCGCTCAAGTGCTTGATCTTTATGCCCAATATCAACACATTCGTTGATTATCTAGACATCCTTCCGTTTCCGACAATTCAAGCTCATGCTAAAGATGCCATTTTCCTTTCGCTACAGCACAGCCTATGAAATGGAGTCGGCAGCAGGAAATCAAACAATTGCCGCTGAAGTGATGGTTGGCTAAAATAAGCCCTAGAGGAGCAAAGTCTCGAGGGCCCGACTCCAGTCGAAGGAAAGGATACTAGCTTGTAGTCTTCAACTCAAGGTAGTCTTTTTATCACCCCCCACTTCCGACTAGCTACTGATTAGGCATGAAAGGTCTTTCTATGATCACTATTTGTATTCGTCAATTCATGAGTACCCTAACTAGAGATGGAAGGACTGTTCGATGTCAACAAATGCAACAGTGCGAAATCATATCCTACCCAGCATTAAATCGGTATCTCTCAAGAGCGAGACAATCGCTAAAGGCTCGCCACTTGTGTCCGGTGCATCTTTTCTGAACAACAGTATGGATCACGGGTTTGAGTTGAATTCTCTACATCTTATCCCATTCATTCCCTATATGCACAAGGAGCTGCTGGATGACCTTCTTTTTTCGGCAGGCCAGTTTCTCTAGGTAGGTCGGACGTGCCTGGAGAAGTTGTTTGAAGCGGGATGCTACCCCGATCCTCGCCTCAATCCTTTCCGCCTTTGGGCTCATCATCTATTCGCAGACAGCTTTAGTGACGTGTTGCGCTGTACAGCACGTGGAATCATGGGAGGACAGCTGCAGCGAACGATGGGCACTAGCATGATCCCGGACTAATATACGGGATCTATCTATAGGTGGTGTTTACATGCTTAATAGTCCGCGCCTACATTCAACACAAAGATAGGTGCTCCATCAAATTTCGTTTGGCGCTGGTGGTGGAAACCCTATCTGAGTTGTTTCCCAGAAATAACTATAAAGAAGGCCAAGATGAATCATGAAGGACAACCTCCACTGCCTTCTCTCCTGCTATTCTCACTGGTCACTAGTGTCTCGCCCTCGATGTCCTCAACAGCCCCACTTCCGATCAGGGAACGATGCGTTGACGCTGGCAGTGTTTTCTGTCAGTGTTCACGCTTTACTCCCTATCGAGACGAATCACAGTGGCATACTCTAGACCAGGTGCATAAACTTCACTGCCTTATATCTTATGTATACCTGCTCACTGGACCTTCTAGTCCCGCTGTATTTGCGGCCATGGCATTCACGCCCATGCCGACTACCTCTCCCCCGTTGTCCACCAGTGTCCTGCCACTTGCTGTGTGGCCTTCGTTCAAAAGGTACTCTCGTCAGTCATCATATCAGGAGGAAAACTAAAGCAAACTGGTCGATCCAGACACCCCAGACCCAGGAATGCACGTGCACCGCGCTCCTCGTGGATCACAAGGCTGTTGTGAACTTGTACCGCATAGCCCCTGCCATCACCAATAACTGGGAACCTTATGTAGGCACTTCCCAGAGCATCGTACCCTCATATAGTATGAATGCGAGCAATCCTGTCATCCCTATTTCATCACCTAACACCGCTGGTGCCCTTCTACACATTCAACCAGTTTCCGCTCAGGCGGAAAATGTTGGTTTTGTTACGCATCATCTCCAGGGACTTGCGCCAGATAGCATTACGCCAAATGCGACTTTCAGTAACCATCCGGATGCCGTTTACGATACGACACCTAATGCTGGAGTGTGGACGTGGTCGTACACGTAGCTGTCGATATTTCTCGGCATGGCTACTGTTCTGCCAGGTTCTCCTCTTCCTTTACTCGGTAAGAATCTGTTATTGTAACCCTCTTTCATCGTTATATCATCGAGATGGATCTCATGGGAGGTTGTCATGGTCTTTTTCCATTATGCTTGCTGCCTGTTGATTGGGTATACGTTATGAATATCGGTTTCATCGTTTCTCGAATTCTTCTATCATATTATCGCTTTGTTTTGTACTTGCTTTGAGAATTGATATATATATTTATGCTATCAGAGTATTAAGCGGCATGAACAAAGGCGTTCATCAAGTACTTGTACTCATCAGTTAGTTTGCCGGATCACTAATACATCAATGATACTCGCCTGATATATGCTAAGGCTTCGGAATCATAAACGGCCTCGAACTTGGACCAGCGGATCGAGATATAAACATGCAAGTAGCATCTCTGACGGTAAATGAGTGTGCTCCAAAAGCTGGGTCAGGTCGGTTAGAGCAGATTTCCTGCGAATACTTCCCTGTTGATTTATTTCTGACGGCTAATGGTACCAGGGCAGAGTTCGTCAGAGGGAGTTTGGATCGTCCGCAGAGGCACATCCATAGACCAGCATATCATCAATCAGATATCATGTGTATAAGTTGATGACAATCCCGGGAAAGAGTGCCAAACAAATAGTGAAGGAACCAAATGACCGTGATTAAAATCTGCAGCTTCAGACCCCTTTGGTGTGGGTTAGAAGGTCACGGTCGATAGGCTAGGGATTAACCTAAGTGGAGCGAGAAGGTTGTTGAGAAGGGATGTTGAAAGCGCTGATGAATGGTTTTGGATGATAGTGTGGTTGAGATCACACAGGATCAAGTGTGCGTAGAAAGGATCCAGGAAACGCGTTGGCGACGTTGCCTGGTTTGTGTGAACAAAGAAAACATTCAGAAGCATGTGGTCCAGACAGAGATGAGTGTAAGATCTCTCCAAGCTTCCCCATCCAACCTCGAAATTTCCGTGATGCATCGCCCGTAAACAACAGCAGGCAGTATTTGACCCCTTCATACCCGATAATGAGAATGCCCTGGGCCTGGATGGTGTTCCTGTTAGGATCGTGCCAATAGGATTGCGGCAGTAAGTGCACATAGCAGAATGCCGCGGGATGCGTTGGGCGTAGGCGAAGCTATTAGCAATGTCACCCCTGAGCTGAAGCCCTAAGATGGATACGGACGGAAGTCCGCAGAGTGGCAGAGACGAGGTAAAAGATAAGTCCAACGGATCGGAGTTCCGCGGACTGGAGAATGAGAGTTTAGACTTAGAGTCAGAGAGAGAGAGATTGGGCTGAACCAAGTTGATATTCGAACTGAGTATCTACAGTGTAATTCTAAGGCTTATATACTAGTTAGGAGTCCGATCTAGTTCCTACTCGGAGTGGTCTACATTCTAGGGTTGTCGGAGGATGTATTCTACCGGTCGGTAGCCGATGGGGTCCGATGACATGTTCGCTACCGATGTCGGGCTATTGATAAATTGTAATGGAGAAGTTAAATATAAAAAGGAATATGAAATGGAATATGAAATAGAAACTGGGAATCGGAATCCGTAGGATTCCGGGCTGTGGTTTGTTGGATTGAGTGGAAGTGGGGTTTCCGTCGGCATGCTCGTTACAGTATCCCCCCCTTAGCGTTCTTGCCCTCAAGGACGCAGATCCCGATGGCCGGGTGTGACTGCGTGGAATTTTTTCAGGTTGGTCACGTGGCTTTTCACCTCTTAGCTTTCTACCACCACCATCTCCTCTATTTTCTGAATTTCGTCCTCGTCGTTCGTCATGTCGTCAACCATCGAGTACCGTGTTTCCGTGATGCCCGAACCGTACGAGCCTGCCCCGACGCCCGAAGATATTCGGCCTGAAGACCTGGAAGCCTTTTATGACGAGCGGGACGCCGCGGAGAAGGCTAGGGAGGATGCCACGGAGGCTCATGAGGCCTGGAAAGCGCAGAAAACAAAAGGAGGAAAAGAGGCGGGCTCGGAGTTGGAACGGCGAGAGAAAAAATTGGGCAGGAGAGGAAGGTGCGGAGGCCAAAGCAAGGAAGGAGAGGGAGGAGCGGGAGGCTGCGGAGAAGAAACGTCAAGAGGAGGCAGAGGCTAAGGCAAAGGCAGAGGTGGCCGCTGCGGAGCAGCGGAGGTTGGAAGAGGAGGCCAGGGCCTTGGAGGAAGCTAGCAAGGCCACGGAGGCGGAGAAGGAGAAGGAAGATGGGAATGAGGGGAGCAAGGTGGGGTAGCGGGTCCGACGGAGATGACGCGGGAGAAGGCCCGAAGGAGAAGGCGTTGAGAAAATTGGTAAAGCAGAGGAAGGATAGGAAGGGTAAGGGCAAGGACCGATTCGGAGGCCGTGGATGTTTGAGG